GTAACCATTTTTCATCCAACGTTCTGGCTGTAAGAGCGGGACGGCTAATTAAGTCAGCAGCCCGTAAATCAGCTCGGCTGTTTGGATGTTTTCACATTGAAGATGTTAACGTTTAGCTTAACTCACGTCAGATTAAACAGTGATGTGATGGTAGTAGTAGTAGTAGTAGTAGTAGTAGTAGTAGTAGTAGTAGTAGTAGTAGTATGTGTGTGTGTGTGTGTGTGTGTGTGTGTGTGTGTGTGTGTGTGTGTGTGTGTGTGTGTGTGTGTGTGTGTGTGTGTGTGTGTGTGTGTGTGTGTGTGTGTGGGGTTTCACACCAAAGGGGTCTGTTACACTGATTTCAGATTAACAGTTGATGAAGAAGAAAGAACTGATTGTTTTGTGTCCTAATATGGATGAAAGGTTTGAAACATCTGATCGAACAAATTCTCCAGTTTCAGGGAAAACCTTTAAACCTTAGAAATACCACTGGTGGGAAATCAAGTACACTAACAGAATAATGGAAATGTTTAGGGATGGAAAAATATATTTTTAATACAGAACATGAAACTTAAATAAACATTTGAAATAATAAAGATTGAAATGTCATTTTGAACATAACTTTTCTTTAATCTGGGGCTCACAACAGCCCAGGAGCCCCAACCAATGACCAAACACAACCCCAAAGTAAAGCCCTACGATGGGAAGACTGGTTTTCCCCTCCCAGTTGGCCAGGACATGAATATTAAATCATCTACATGCTGATTGGCTGGGTTATCCCAATCACTATGGCACTACCTGAAGCTAGTGACTGTACAGCCGTGTTCATAATCCAGATTACTCAATAGGCAAGCTGTGGCTCTTTATACAACAGTTAGTTCCGACCAAGTAATTTGATTGGTCGAGAATTTTACCTTATCGTGGTGGAGGAGTTTGAGTGCCCTAATGATCCTAGGAGCTATGTTGTCTGGTGCACTTTGTGCACCTGGTAGGGTCTCCCATGACAAATTGGTCTTAGGTGAAGGGTGAGACAAAGAACGGTTCAGAGGATCTTTCATGGATATACAATCAAAGAGTCGGAGTACCCGGCCCGGAGGTTTACCGGGGTCCCACCATGGAGCCGGGCCTGGGGTTGGGGCCCGTGAGCGAACCCCTGGCGGCCGGGCTTTCGCCCATGGGGCCTGGCCGGGCCCAGCCCGAACTGGATACATGGGCTCATTCAACTGTGGACCCACCACCCGCAGGAGGAACATGAAGGGTCCGGTACAGTGTGGATCGGGTGGCAGACCGAGGCGGGAGCCTTGGCGGTCCAATCCTCGGACAACAAAACTGGTTTTTGGGACATGGAACGTCACCTCGCTGGTGGGGAAGGAGCAGGAGCTTGTAGCAGAGGTGGAGCTGTACCGGCTAGATATAGTCGGACTCACCTCGACACATAGCATTGGCTCTGGAACCCAAGTCCTTGAGAGGGGTTGGACAGTCTCCTTTGCTGGAGTTGCTCCGGGTGAGAGGTGGAGGGCTGGGGTTGGCTTTTGTTAGCCCCAAGACTCTCTGCCTGTGTGTTGGGGTTTACCCCGGGGGACGAGAGGGTAGCTTCCCTGCGCCTTCGGGTCGGGGAACGGGTCCTGACTGTTGTTTGTGTTTATGGGCCAAATATCAGTTCAGAGTACCCACCCTTTTCGGAGTCCCTGGGACGAGTCCTAGATAGTGCTCCATCAGGGGACTCCATTGTCCTGCTGGGGGACTTCAGTGCTCACGTGGGCAATGACAGCATGACCTGGAGGGGTGTGATTGGGAGGAACGGCCAGCCTGATCTGAACTCGAATGGTGTTTCGTTATTGGACATATGTGCAAGCCACAGTTTGGCCATAACGAACACCATGTTCAAACATAAGGATGCCCATCGGTACACTTGGTACCAGGGCAGCCTAGGTCGCAGGTCGATGATAGAATTTGTAGTCGTATCATCTGACCTTATGTTTTGGACACCCAAGAGAAGAGAGGAGCGGAGCTGTCAACTGATCACCACCTGGTGGTGAGTTGGATCAGATGGCAGGGGAAGATGCCGCGTAGACCTGGCAGACCCAAACACATAGTGAGGGTCTGCTGGGAACGCCTGGCAGAAGAACCTGTCAAGACGGTCTTCAACTCCCACCTCCGGCAGAGCTTTGACCGCGTCCCGAGAGCAGTGGGGGACATTGACTCCAAGTGGGCCTTGTTCTGCTCTGCGATTGTTGAGGCGGCTGTTGCTAGCTATGGTCGCAAGGTGGCCGGTGCCAGTCGTGGTGGCAACCCCCATACCCGCTGGTGGGCACCAGAGGTTCGGGGAGCTGTCTGGCTGAAGAAGGAGGCCTACAGGGCGTGGCTGGTCTGTGGGTCTCTGGAGGCAGCAGACAGGTACTGGATAGCTAAGCGGGGTGCAGCAGTGGCAGTTGCCGAGGCAAAATCTCGGGCGTGGGAGGAGTTTGGTGTGGCCATGGAGAGATTTGGTGGCAGGAGAATCTTGTCTCTGCTTTTTGCGGATGATGTGGTTCTCCTAGCTTCATCCAGCTCTGACCTTCAACTCTTGCGGGGTAGGTTCGCGGCCGAGTGTGAAGCGGCTGGGATGAGGATCAGCACCTCCAAATCTGAAACCATGGTTCTTGACCGGAAAAGGGTGGCTTGCCAACTCCAGATCGGGAGAGAGGTCCTACGTCAAGTGGAGGAGTCTAAGTATCTCGGCGTCTTGTTCACGAGTGAGGGTAGGAGGGATCGGGAGATCGACAGGTGGATTGGTTCAGCTTCTGCAGTGATGCAGACGCTGAGCCGATCTGTCGTGGTGAAGAGGGAGCTGAGTCAGAAAGCCAGGCTCTCGATTTACCGGTCGATCTACGTCCCAATCCTCACCTATGGTCATGAGCTTTGGGTAATGATCGAAAGAACGAGATTGCGGATACAAGCGGCCGAAGTGAGTTCCCTCCATAGGGTGGCTGGGCTCAGCCTTAGAGATAGGGTGAGGAGCTCCGACAAAGCGGGTTCAGAAAATGGATGGATGGATGGATGGATGGATGGAACGAACTTTCAGCAAGTTAAGAAGAATGAACACAGTGTTAAGGGAGTTTTATGGATGGATCCGGACAGCTAAAGGGGCGCTCTACAGCATCAGCAGCTACCTCGGATTTCGGGCGGGATTGGAGCCGCCGGTGAGCCGCTCATGTAATTTAATGCAGGACCCAGAGTTCATACCAGCTAACAATGTTTTGAAAGGAGTCACACGGAAACATTCAAATAATCGTAAATGATACAAAGTAAAGTTACAGTGCTTTGTAGAAAATGTTTGTGTTGCCTAACAACAGCCTTGTCTGAGTCTCCGTTTTGTGTTGGGACTATCTGTGTTGGCGGAGCCTGATAAATGATTAAATAAATGAACAAATCATAATCTGTTGTTATAAAAATAAAATGAGCAGGTAGAACTGTTGTATAAAAGCAACATCACACTCATGGTCGTGCGTTGTTGCTGAATATCAGCTCTAGTGTGTTTCGGTCGTAGGCACAAGGCCGCAGGCCGAGTGCCGTACATAATCACACCAGTGCTGATATTCAGCAATACCACATGACCTCGAGTGTGATGTTGCTTAAGTCTGACATTCAGTCGTTCATAGTCTGGAAATTCCCAGTACATCCTGGAAAGTTACATCAGTGTTTCCACATTTGTTGTATATGTCTTTTCTATAAGGAGCCTAAGTCTCCTCCCTTTCCGGTCGGCTCACGGGTCCCCGGAAGAACGAAAAATACAAGTCAACGGGGGTAAAAACACTACTTTCTAATCCGCTTTGCCTTATGCCCTGGATCAAACACATGTTGTACTGCTATTTAAATGGAAAGTAATGATGGTGTTTCGACCATGCCAGTCATGTAGTTTGAGATTTATCAGCTTGTAAAAGTTCGTAATTAGCATGACTACACAGCAGAAAACGGCACGTTGCATATGTAACGTCAACACATAATCTCCTCTCCCCTAGCGTAGCTGCTACTTACCACATGACCAGATTTATGGTGGTTCTTTCCCCTTGTGGAAAGTTTTGCTGAACTTCCAGCCCTTTTCCCTCAGTTTTCTCCGTGTCTGTTTCGATGACGTCACTTTCATGAAGCGCATTTGTAGTTCTGGACTTATGTTTATGTTTATTCACTTAGCAGACGCTTTTACCCAAAGCGACTTACAATTTCTAACCTGTAGGGCATGTTGTGAACTGTGGGGGAAACCGTAGTATCCGGAGGAAACCCACGCATGCATGGGGAGAACACGCAACTCCACGCAGAAAGGCCGCAGCCGAGTTTCAAACCTGCGACCTTCGTGCTGCGAGGCAACAGTGCTAACCACTGCGTCACCATGCAGCCTAAAGTTTACCAGCCCAAAGACTTATTTTCACACAAAACCTAAATTAGTGTTTTACCCTGTTCGAAGAGAAGTGCATTCTTGGTTTCAAAATGTGTCTAAAAATTCACAGACATCATATGTGAAATCCATGGTACAAAACAAGCGGATTAGAAAATAGCGTTTTTAACCAAGTTGACCTGCGTTCATTTTTTCGTTCTTCCGGGGACCCGTGGTCCGGAAGTAGATGGGCGTGACTTAGGTTCCCTGTTAAGGACGCTACCGTTAGCAATAGCTCAGGCTAGCGTTAGCAGGAGCTTGGGTTAGCGTTGCTCTGCAGTTAGCATTACCGTGACAAACATTTATATATTATTGTAAAAGTTTAGGTGGGTTGGGACATGCTAGCTTAAGGTGGTGTGTCTCCCGTATAACGTGTGAAACCAGCTTTGAGCAGAACGAACCGATTCTAAGTGCCTGTTACATCATTATCTACCCAGGAAAGCAGGTCTATGCCCCCCCCCCCCCCCCCCCACGCTGCCTTTCCTCAACAACAACAAGGTAAATGTGTGTTTAAAACATTTTAGTAGTTTTTTTGTGTTGTAATCCACATGACTTCCTTTAGTTCCTTTAGACCATTTTACTATCTCTGAATGTTATTCTACCCCCCCCCCCCCCACACACACACACCTTTGAATGTGGCTGCATTCCATGTACTCCAACTTCTCTTTGTTATAACAGAGAAAACATCTTGAAAGATGTATTTAAAATCAGACAGAAGTTGAAGTCAGATTTCATCATCTCCAGTAAACGAAATAATCAGTGTCCGTAGATAGCTAGTTCTCCTCTGTTAGTCCATTTCAGAGCGGGTTTGACCTTTGACCTTAATCTGATTATAACACCATGTTTCCTGTGACTTGATGAAGTGACTTCCTCTCATTACCTAAGCTCTTTTTGTGTGATGGGTATCTTTAAGGGCTCGTTATCTGACTGATGTCGAGGGTAAACAGCTGCATGGGGTGGAATTGTTACGTTAAAACTCAGAACTGGTCATTTTCTTAGCAAAGGAAGGTCAGAAACTTAGCTACAGGAGGACACGGCTAAAACACACACACACACACACACACACACACACACACACACACACACACACACACTTCCTCCTCTTCCTGTGACCCCAGAGCTTCAGAAGCCTTTACTAAACTTCAGTCCTGCAGAAATTTCCTGTTCAGATGCAGCAGAGATTGGGCGAGGTGACAAGAACTCTTCTTCTTTTACACACACACACACCACTTCACACGCTGGTACATCAAGTCCGTTTCTTAATGAAGTTTTAATGGGAACTGTTCATCATCAGGCTGTCATCGCCTGACCCTTCAACTCATCCAGCGCCCACATTTCTGGAATTGAAAAACACTTTTTAATTTAGTCACAGATCTTCCCTGAAAGTCTGTCTGGAACCGTCCTTTCCCAGCGTCTGCCTCCCTGCGACCGTCTGAATGGAACTTGTTGTGTTGTCACGTTTGGGTGGAGGAGGGAATGCTGTGAGTGGGAACGGCTCGCTCCTGAAGCGCCGATTGCTGCTACAAACGGCCACTTTGTGACTGCTGATCTCACTTCTCTCGGGTCCCCTCCGCCCCCTCCCCGTCATGTTGCCACAGCGATGGCATGAGGTGGCTCAGGTCGGCTTTTCATGTGCCGGATCCGGCTGAACTGTGACCGATGCGGACCAAGGCTCGCCTGGAGGAGCCGGCGGGCAGCTTGAAACGAGGTAACGGGTGGCATGACTCGCTCTGGTGGATTTTCAGTTTTGTCTGGTTCACTGTTTGATGTCAAATATCAGAAAATTACTTCCTGATGTTTTCTGAATCCAAGAACGGGGGATTGTTTTGGTGTAAATTTCATTTTGTTTCTAACAGATCGGAACGAAAAGGGTCTCATTCTGATCATCTGTAGTTTTTGGCTGTTTCATTAGCAAACCCAGGTGTAGCAAGATTAGCCAAAGAAGAATCAGAATCAGAAGTTTTTATTGCCATATGTGTGCCAAGTCACAACATTAGGAAATTGCTGCGGTATTTTGGTGCAGAAGGTAAGATAGAAAAAAAATTAATTAAGAGATAAGCAAATATAAGAACTAATAAAACACTCATGATAAAAAATTATTAACGTAAAAAGTGGCAAGAATTAGAGAAGCAGCTATCTACTCCGTGTAGGTATTAATCTGAGTATTTGTTGAATGGTTCAAGCACAGCATCGGGTCACGTGACTGGGACCAATCAACTTGAGTGGGCTGCCCTAGGATGTTCATTCAAAAGTCCAACTGCAGAGGGGAAGAAACTGTTTTTGTGGCGAGAGGTTCTGGTCCGAATGGATCTGAGCCTTCTGCCAGATGGGAGCGAGTCGAAGAGACTGTGTCCAGGGTGAGACGAGTCAGCTATTATCCGACCTGCACGCCTCAATGTCCTAGAGGTGTACAGATCTTGAATGGAGGGGAGTTTGCAGCCAGTGACCTTCTCTGCAGAGCGCACGACACGCTGCAGCCTCTTCTTGTCCCTGGTGGTACCTCCAGCGTACCACACGGTGATGGAGGAGGTGAGGGTGGACTCGATGATAGCGGTGTAGGAATGCCTCATCGACTGTGGTGATAGGTTGAATTTCTTCAACTGCCTCAGGAAGTACATCCTCTGCTGGGCCTTTTTTCTGATGGTGGTGATGGTGGGCTCCCATTTGAGGTCCTGGGCGATGGTGGTGCCCAGGAAGTGACAAAGAAGGGCCTCAGTGTGGAACATTATCATCTTGTGTCAAAAAAGATCAAACATTTCTCTTCATTAGAAGAGTTCATCTGAAAAACTAACCCTTGATATGGAATCTGGCGTCTATTTTAGATATAAACGGACATTTGGAGACATTTGGTTCGAAACCACCTCAAACGTATGATGTTTATTGGACTTTCATGGTTTCCTGTTCATTTTAACTCACTCAGCTTCTGTTTGAGACAACTAAAGGAATCAGAAGGAAGGTTCCAGAATGTCTTGGAACTTTAACAAGGATTACTGAATTTTTGTTTGTTTTCATTGTTTCCCAACATTTCTTCTGGTTTTGGTTCATAGCCTAGAAATCGACCAACCTTTGAGGAAGATGAGCTGGGTCATGAACCAACACTAAATTAAGTGTTTTTACCCTTTCAGCTTTGCTTTGGTCAGCGGTCTGCTTAGTGACGTATGCTTTCGGGAACGCTAATGACGTAGCGCAGGGGTCACCAGCTCCGGTCCTCGAGAGCTACCGTCCTGCACACGTTACGCACCTGATTGAAATGAATGAGTAATCAACAGGCCTGTGCAGAATTAAACGTAATTAATTTAATCCTCTCTGTGGAGGCCACATGGCCTCTACAGAGAGGATTAAATTACTGCATTCAGGTGTGATGGAGCAGGAAACACAGAAAACTAGCAGGATGGTAGCCCTCGAGGACTGGAGTTGGTGACACCTGATGTAGTGTGTCCTGCTGGAGAGGGACGTCGGGCAGTTTCTGGAGTTCCCACAGTGGGGCATGAACAATCCTGCATGACAGCCAAAAATCACCCTGTCTGATCCGGGAGAATGAGACTCAGTTGCTGTTGGAGACTAAATAAACATGACACTTTTCTTGTTATTTACTACTTCTTCTTCTTTGTTGGTGTATGCGTCTCTGCACACAACTGGACAGTGCTAGGACCAATCAAATCAACGACCAACTTGACTTATTCATTACCGTACCATATCAAATTTATTTATAAAAGCACATTTAACTCATTTGCTGCCAGCGTTTCTCAGAGTTTTTACTGTTGTTTTAAGAGTGACAGAACGTTGCGTGCTAGGATGATGTCAATGCCAAAGCAACTAGAACAAAGTGGAGACTCACCTCTTACATCAAGAAGAATCAGCGTGTTTCGAGCGTTATCCGTTCTTTCATAATCCGTTGTTGAATTGTGATCGGCAGAAACTTTTCCGGTTCGCGCCTCACTTTTTTTACAGCAGCGGCCCAAAACGATCTCCTAACACATGGATGTTCTGCTTCCTGATCACGTGACGTGTGACGTACGCGGATGAAGATCGGCTTCAGAGCTGAGATGTTTGTTCTCACGGTGTGGGGGCTCGTCCGACGCCCACACAGTAAAAAAAATGCAAATGACGACTTTAGTCTTCATTGGCAGCGAATGAGTTAAACACCCCGTGTGAGCCAACCAAAGAGCGGTACACCACAAAACCATACAATGGAAATTGGTCAATGGGGCAGGCAGCTCTGTCTATGGGTCGTGGCCAGAATAGATGTTTACATTTGTAGGATGACTTCCCAGGCTACTTGGTTCAATTACATCCGTGAAGAATGCATGTGGAAACCTGCTCAGGTCAGTCGCAGAAACATGAGACAACCTTGCTGATAAATTAGAGGAATTTGGGAATAAAATAAGAGAAAATGAGGACATTTTGTGACTAAATGGCGAGAAAAAAACTTTGACTTTCTCCTTTTGCTCTAAAACGTGTTTCTGAAGCTTCATCAGAATCAGAATCAGCTTTATTGTCAGTGCTCCAGCATCCCGAAGCACAGAAAGCCTGAGCAAGGTTACACACACAAAACATGTAGAACAAAAACAGATGCAGGCAGACTGTGAGAGCTGCCATTCGAGGCGCTCATTTCAGTTGGATAGAAAAGTGTTTCACGAGGATAAATCAAACATATAAGCACGAACATCAACAGTTCACAACGTGGGACTCGGATGGGAAGGCAGATACTCATCTAAGGTGCAGAGTTCAGAGTGTGTGTTGTTTTCTGAGTGTGTGTTGTTGTGTTGTAGCTTTGTGCACAAGCACCAGATGATGTCATGGAGAAGTGGCACCAGTCCAGACGCTCGGACCATTGTGAGCTAACACTTGGTGTCTAAATGTAAAGCCCTGATGACAGAATGCACACATCGAACCATAACACACCTGCTGTTTGTTACGCTAAGCAGTAAAGAGCTGTTTAAGTTTAAAAAATGAAATAAAATAACTTCCTTAACTAGAGTTTTCACAGAAAAGTCAACATTGAGTAAATCTACAATTTATAAATGGAAAAAAGCCAAATGTAAAAACAACAAATTAGCTTTGTTGAACTTGATTGTTTGTTTATATAAATCATTGTTTGCTCCAAATGATCAAAAATTTAAAGAATTTAAGTCTCATCATATGTTTTATTTATTGACATAATTTGCAAAATGAGCTGAATGAAGGGGAAGAAGTGGCTTATTTTAGTGTCCAGACTAGGGCTGGGCATTGTTGGATTTTGAATGATTCCGATTCTGATTCCAATTCCTCATTTCGATTCCGGTTCCTATCGATTCCCGATTCCGATTCTTTAAGACATGACATGTGTTACCTGAGCCAGCTAACCACAGGTCCTACTTGATGAAATAATCTTAACTTCAACATGAATTTTAACTCTATGAACAACAACATTTAGACAAAAACATGTTTTGGAGAAAAAAGAAAAAGACTTGCAGCACAACCAGTCTGTTTGTTTCTGACCACAACCAAAGTGTGGAAGCAGCCTCTGGGATGAGAGGCTAAATGTCTCCAACATATCCAGAAACGTCCAGCTGTTTCCAGCTGAAACTCTCAGGATGATCATGTCCAGGATGACTGAGAACTACACCTCCATGCTGCAGCAGCATTCAGTTAGAACAGGAAGTGAAGCTTAAACGTAGCTGCTGTCAGTAACAACCTAACAGATTTTAAACATTAAACTCAACAGAAATAGTTCAGAAAGGAAATTAAACTTTGTGTGTGATTTATTATTATTATTATAATTATTTATTGTGGCAGAAGCTGGTGTGGTCCACCACAGAGAAGGTGCTCTAGCATGATGACTTTAATTATTCTACAAGTTATTGTTCAGCCTTCTGACGCTCACACACACACACACACACACACACACACACCCACACTAGGGTTGTCACGATACTAAAATTTCAAACTCTATTCGATACTTGAAAAAAAACTCGATACTCGATTTCGATACTATTAAAAAACACCAATTTATTGAACAAGTTTATTCAAAATCTAACATTCCTCAATTTATATTGCAAAAATTAAATGTTAAGAATTAAGTGTATTAAGTGCTTAAACCTTTCAAGTATCAGCATTTTTTAAAACGTGCATACAAAAACTGGCGAAAGTAAACACTTTAAATCATGAATTGTCTCACTATATATACACTATTTGCAGAGTGATGTTTTGCTGCTTAAACTCTGTTTAAGGTGCATTTTTGTCATAAGATGTAATGCCATATGTTTTGTTCTGTACTTTTGAACAACTCTGTTGGTCAATAAAGGGAGAAAACGAATTTCTCCACAGTAGGACAAAGGTACATCTACCGGTAATCTTAATAAAAACAGATTGGCGCACGGCAGTGACGTCATTAAAAGCGCTGGTTAGATTAGCCGTGGCTAGTCTGTTCAAGCCTAGAAATCCCAGACCCGCTCCAAACGAACAGGGGAATCATGTTAAAGGGGAATCATGTTAATGATTCCTAACAAAACCTTTCGACATTGAGATGTTTTGGTGCAGATAATGTCTTATTTCGAGGCTGCACCATGGGTGCCCGTCCGCACCCGTTATATGGATATACACTGACGGCGATTCACCGATGGATTTAAATACCCCGCGGAATCCAAGTAGCACCAAAGTTGTCAGCATGAGTAAACAAACGTACTGCATGCTAGAAATTAAGTCCGGGTTGCAATAAACGGGAGT